ATTTGCCATTTTTATTTAATAAATTGTTCATCGCAATTTGATTTAAAACTTATAGAAAGTCATCGTGTAAAGCCTAAAATAATTTCGGATGAGAATATTAATTTTTTTCTGAAGACGATAATCAACGTCAGGAGAAGAAATTATTTGAAACAGCAAAGCACATGAAGCTATCTGCCTAAGGGAAGGAATGCCTGCGTGAATAACTTTTTAAGGGAAATTGACTCACACATGAGAAAAATCAACAATGCTGGCATTTTTTGTCCGGGATCCACCAACTTTAAACACTTGGTCACTGGTGGGGATTAAGGAAAGGAGAAGACAAATAAATATACAGTCATCATCATAAATTACGTTTAGATGCATTTTTCATCATTCGTAAAGTTAAGACAACTGACAAAAGATAAATCTGTGTTCAAAATGTATGTAGAATAGTAGTAAAAAACGATTTCATTCACTTTCTTAACCAATTTAATATTTCTAATATTTTCAGGCACCATTTTTCTTCCTACCGAGTTGCGATCAGCATTATTAATTATTTGTGCTATGAATTTAAAAATGTAAAACAGATAAATAAGAAAGTGTAAGAAGCAGAATACTGAACAGTATTTTGTTCTGATGGAGAAATTAACCATAATACGCAATGATGAATTTCAGAAACTTTTCATAAAAAGGCAACATTGAACATCTTAACCAACTCTCCTTTATTTAAAGCATAACGTAACAGTGTAAAGACCTTATTTTATTCTAATCAATTATATTTAGTTCTAAAGAAACTTTTCTTTCCTTTCTGATTTCACTTTCTAGACTAGAATATAAACTTTATGACGTAGTAGGCAAATCTGAGTGAGTTCGGGATCAGCATTTAAGCTGCGGTTTTAAGAGTTTGTAGTAGGAGAGTTAGATCGGAATTCATGCCAAGTGTTTGAAGAAGCCTTGTACGTGAATAGTTGGTGCATAGCCACTTTACTTAGATTATACTGATATTCTAGGTTCGGGTTTGCTGTGTGCAACTGGTTTAGCGGTTTAGATAACGACGGAGCCAGTCGTGTAGCCAAGATTTTTTTATTACGAACGTACACTGAAAAAAAAAAAAAAAAAAAAAAAAAAACGTTGTATATCTCCCGTTCGTACTGTGCCAATTGACGAAATTCAACTTCGTTTTTCATATCTCGAAAGCGCGACTTAAGATATGTGTTAGATTTATATATACCATTGTTCTAATATAAGTATTTTGACTCAAAATCGGACTTTATCTGAAAGAAACGTACCAATTTTTTACCATATTTCCATTGTATGACTCAATTTATGCCAAACTATCAAGTTTTTGTACAAATCGCGCGAGGAATTTTTAAAAAGTTAGGTCTCAAAATTTTAGCTTCTCAATATTAATTGAGTTTGTTGTATATTTATTAATATCTCTTTTTTTTATTAAAGTTATTTGATTCTTCCTTTCACATTTTGAAATTCAGGTTCTTTCCAAATAAAATTCATCCATTTTTTATGATTTATTTTAAATTTGTATTTTAATATCTTTAAAACCATTTTTGATTATACTCTATAAAATTTTCCGTCATCTTAAAGTAGACGTATTTCTAAGCATACTGCAAAAATTATAGTTTTTTAATAAAATTTCCGAAGATATCAGGAATGTATATATTGGCGGTTTGAAATTTTGCATATTTGGTGAAAGCGATAAAACATCAAATGTGGTTTAGACACTTTGATAAAATTATTTGAATGTAGGAACGAAGTGACTTTTTGCCCGCTCATGCACAGTGTAAAAAAGTAGAAATGAGGTGTTTTTTCCCCACTGCAGCATAATGAAAGAGAAAGGAAAACTGGTTTCTATATATTAAGTTCGCCAAGTGAATTATTCTTGGCGCACACTGAAAAAATTCCGACAAAATAAATTTCCTTTTTTCTCCGTAAATTTCGCTCCAAATTTGACAAAATGTAACATCTAGACATAATTTGAGTTTAGAAAAATATGTAAACAATCTGTTGTTATTCAGGAAAATCGATTTTGTGTCAAATCCTATTTAGAACATGCTCTATATGTAAATCTAATATATATCCTAAGTCACCCTTTCGAGACATAAAAAACGCAATTTGAATTTTGTCAATCGGCCCAGTAGAACGGGGATATAGAACTGTGCCTTTTTTGGGAGGAGGGGGGCAGTGTACATCTAATTTTTTTGTTACGTTACTTAGTCACAAGTGGTGATAGACTGTAAGCACCACGCGAGTGGTTTCTAGCCAAGAGAGAGAGAGAGCCTTCCTGCTGCCCTGCTACGCGCGTGCTTTTCAGTCAGTTCGTGTCTGCCTTTTAAGCCAGAACTTAGTTCCTGCTAATATAATAGGCGTAATGTAGTATTTGCATCTAGTTCACTACATATGCAGGGTCGAAAGCCAGTCTTCGTGTTAATAGTCTCTGTAAAGCATAAATTTAATTCTTATTTAGTTAAGTTAGTTATTAAGTGAATATTTCTTATTTTTTACGTTTTAGACGGAAAGTGTTGGTCTCTGTATCTCGAAGTGCGAGAGAGCCTGTATGCTATGAGAAATAGAGGGTAAAGTTAACCCTTCTTAACTTGTTTGTTTATTCCACGCACACACGAACATAGCTTGAGTAAGCTCCTTGTTCCCTCTCAGGATTTTCGTGATGTTTTCAAAGTGAATTAGAAGAAACAGTAGTCCTGACAAGTTACTTAAACCTTCCTATGCAGTCAACTGTTCTTCCAAGACCTGCGAGAATTCTCTACTTAGTTTTTTTTTTTTCAGCTAGGGTCTACAGCGTAAATGATTCCAAAACATATTAGAAGACTCTACAACAGAACACCTGCAATTAAAGTAGGCATAAGGGACCCACGCCCATACTTTAAATTTACAGAACAAAATATATAGGCAGGAAGGTAACAATGATTCAGATCAATTTTCAAGAGCTAAAGAGTTTTAAAAGAGATTATCCCGGATCTTCCTATAATTGAAGTATGCGATTCACTACTTATAGTTTTAATTTGAATTTTAATAGATAATGAAATCGTTTTTATTAAATTCCTACAATTAGCTTACACTCTCCCTATATCTTGTTCAAATTTTCAATCGTTAATAAAACACTTTTGACTCTCTCCCGAAGATCAAGAATTTTTTAAAACTTGTAGTGGATGACATTTGATGTTAATACAGTTTTTTTCACATATTAAAAACTGTTTTTTGTATTTTAAAAATTTTTCTTTGTTGACCTAAGTAGGAATTGAATTAAATTTTTTATTAAATTAATTATTAATTAAATGATTTTCAACCGTTAATAAAATACTTTTTATTCATCCACTCAAGTTGTAATACACTTTTTTAAACTTGTAGTTTTTTCTTTGTTGACCTAGGTAGGAATTGGCCTTAATTCTTTTATATTACTTATTTTTTACTATAATTAAGCGGATGATCAGTGTAACATGATATGAAAACCACTGACTAAGAATGTCATATCATATGACACTAATGTCAAACCACTGACTAAGAATGTCATATATTTCATATCATGAAAATTAAAAATTTCAAACACAGAAAAAGGAAAATTTAACAAAGTGCTGCTGAAAAACAAAATTTCGCCTTACACTCAAAGATGTGCCGCAAAGCCGTTTAATTAGAATGAGCTTTCTAGTGGAATATTGGGCCCAGCCATTATGATAATGCATAATTTATAAAGAGTTTATGTAAAAAAATGAGAAAAATAAAAGGCAATTCCATATCTCACCTTTTACTGGGTCGATTCACGAAATTAAGTTTGCGTGTTTCATGTCTCGAAAGCACGACTTAGAATATACATTATATTTATATATAACATTATTCAAACATGGATATTTTGACACAAAATCGAACTTTTTCCGAATTGTCAAGCCATTTTTTTCATATTTAGGTTCTATGACTCAAAATATGCCAAACTGCCAAGTTACGTAAAAATCAAATCAGTAGTTTATGACATATTTTTTATACATTTTTTGAAAAAATGTTTTTATTATAACTCATAAAAGTTTTAACATCATCTTAAAGTAGATGTATTTCTAGGTACACCTGCAAAAAAGTAGAGTTATTTATTCAAAATTTTCTAAGATAGGCCTAAATTTACATATTGGCGCGTTTTAAAATTTGGCATCTTTTCTTTTGAGCGATAATTACGCCAAATGGGGTTTACACACTTTGTTAAAATTATTTGAAAGTAGGAACGATGACTCTTTCTCTGCTCGTTTGCAATGAAAAAAGGAAAGGAAAACAGGTTGCTAGAAATTCGCCAAGTTAATTATTCTTGGCGCAAACTGAAACAAATTGGAGCAAAATAACTTTTTGAATTTCTTCGTAAATTTCGCTCGAAATTTTACAAAATTTAATATTTAGGCATAATTTGAGACTTAGAATCGAAATATGGAAAAAAGTTGACACGACATTTCAGAAAAAGTCTGATTTTGTGTCAAATACCTATGTTAGAATAATGCTATATATAAATCTAATATATATCTTAAGCTGAGTGTTCGAGACATGAAAAACGCAACTGGGATTTCGTCAATCGCCACAGTAGAACGGAAGATATCCCTTTTTTTCACAGTGTAGGCTTGACTTTTACAGATGACTTCATGTTGAGAAGTGCATGACTTTCAATCACACCTTTTAATTCTGTTTTTAGTCAGGTTACTGCAATTATTTGCATAATATCCCCACTGAGTAATGATAGGTCACAATTTTCCTGGCAATGTGTGATAAAAATTTTCGATTATTCCAGGTATCCTTTTGCAAATCCGAAAGACTTCCTAAACAGACGTCATTCAAAGAAGCCAGAAGCATTTTTGGCTTCCGCCATAAATGCCTCTAACTTCTTCTAACATTGTTTTTATTTCTTCGAATGGCAATTGTTCAGGAAATCTTCTGGCAGAACACAGAAGCACAGAAATGACTTAATTTCAGGGTACAACATAGCTAACTTTTTATGTTAAAAAATGGTTTCTTGCCTTCTCAGAACGTAGGCTTTTGGCCCCATCTGTCGTCAAGATCTCCAGAAAATTGTACCGCGTATGTGTGGGTAGCTGGTTTCTTCTTCCAAAGACTCCTAGTCTTGCTCCAAGCGGCAACGTGTAGTTGAAGCGTATTAGCGATGGCCCCTTCTGCCTCATCTGGACTATCCAGTGACTGTAAGGCCCAACCTGGAATTCTGAACGCCTTCCAAGCGTGATCTCCACGAAGGACAATGTGGAAGGGGACAAGGACGTCGCACTGCTGCTGGGCTTGGACGATGCGGGCGCGTCTGTCACTAGAAAAGTGGAATAACATATAACAAAATAAAACCGACATCATTAAATAGGAATGAGCTAAAAAAGTAAAAATGATCTAATTGTTAATAGGCTACGGTAGCGGAAGTCGTACCCTTTGAGGAAAAAAATATAAATCGCAGGATTTATGAAAAAAAAAAAGTAAAAATGTGTGGTAATAATATCTTGTGTTGTGGTTGCTGATATTTACTATAATGAAATTATATGCTGTCTACTCTCTTGGTAAAATTAATAAAGTTTATGAAGACGAATTTAATACGACGTAGACAACCAATATTCTAAGTCATACTGAGGTTCAAATTGGAAAATTATAATAAACTTCCTTTTTCTCAATTAATTAATTTATACAGTTAATTACGACAATGATTAAAAATATAATTTTTCATTTTCTTGTCAACTCCAGCACATGGTGTATCTATCCTATGTATTTTAGTCACTGAATCATATTCTCATAACGGTCTTCCTCGCAGATATTACAGGGAGAACACGATATGAAACAATATGGTTGATTAAGCGTAACTCATTTTGCCAGAAGAAGCGCAGCTGGCGTGATATTACGCCTAATATTTAAAAGGTACGATTTAAGCAATGGTACGACTTGCGCATCCTTACCCTAGGTAAAAAAATACTCGTCTTTGATCAATTGACTAAATGTGAACATAAGATTTGGAAAAAGTATATACTGACCCAAAATTTTACGTAAAATTTAAGTTTCATCGAACCAATAAATAAGAAAATTTGTGCGTTTCCTGATATTAAAATGAAAAATAAGCTCGATTCTGTATTTAGATTAACAAATTAAGGTCATGCATTTGCCAGAAGAAAATAAAGATGGTTTATTCGAAAGAAGTATTAAAGTTTACTCATAATTCATTTTTTAGTCTTCATGTGGATCAAGGATATAGGAACTGCAGGAAACACATATTCGAGAATTCGAGAATGTGTGAATTCAGTAACATCCATTAGAAAATTCTTAGTATGCGGCATGAAAGCTTTAGTAAAAGAAGTCAGTTATTAAGATCTATGGTTATATCTCTTCCATGATTTCTCAGAAATTCGCATATGTAAATTTCCTATATACTCAAATGACAAAAGCAATTCAATGGCCACATGGGGATTCGGAAGGTCGTAGAGAAAATTTGACAGTCAGTCAGGAATATTGTAGTAAAGCATTTTTTCATATCAGCATGTACACTGTAGTCTGTTACTTTACGACAGGCACTACAAAGTCATTTACCATTTCTTTTCTTTCTTCGTAACTATAGTAACGACTGCTACGAAAGCCGATCGACGTTCCTAACTTGCTAAAATCCTCTAATCCCCTCTGTGCATTAAATTCGACTGATGTTTCAACCGTAAATGATAGAAGGGTCGGTATGACCTTGAAGGGATTATTTTAAAGCAATAGGCCATAACATGTTTATAATTTCAAAGAAAATACTCTAAGTTCATTCGCCTTTGTCAAAACCTATGATTACTCTTGAACATTTGGTCATAGACAACGTGTGAGCTTTGAACTGTCAATCATGCAATTGCATAATGGACCGCCTATTTTCAGTTGATGCTTTCATAACTGTGGTGCCATTTTGCCGTAAACAAAGCACACGTAAGACATATAAATACTAAAAGATAATTCCTTATCCTGTAATATTAGTGCAACGAACGATAACCTTTCACGCTATCCTATGCATTCTTTTGAAAGTAATTTTTTAGTACATGTGTACATTAGTAAAAATGGTCTATTTTTGTATTCTGGACCTATCTCTAAAATTTATCTCAGACCGATCGAACTACCATGTATAAATGAAACTGTAGAGGGCTATTATATTTAAAAGTGATATAGAAAGTGTCTATGAGGTATCTTAGAGTGAAATGATTATTCATACAGAAATCATAACAGGTATTTGTAAAGGGCGTGTAGTTGAAGGTTTTTTGGAAGGATTTCAGATTAAAATATATATATATATATATATATGCTTTGAAGCTGTGAAATAAATTATTAAAAAAATTACTTGTGTTATTTAAAATCACTTTATTATAAAATATACCACTTTGCTTAGGTGCCTATAGAAGGTGTTTACTTATTTTTAGAACGATTGCGGAGCCCTTTAATTAATGTTTAAAATGTAAAAGGTATTTTTTAGATGCTGGATCTGATACCGTTTTTTTTTTTTTTTTTTCTATAAATATTCATCGGGATTTCGGTGATAAAAGTGCTTTTCGTAAAATTACCAAAGGTACTGAACTCCATTCTTCTTCCACTACTTTTTAGAGTTCATCCATCGTGGTGGGCTTGCACTTAGAAAGAGCTCTTTTCAAAGGACCGAAGGCATTAAGCCCATTCGTGAAAAGCCAAGACAATTCGCAGTAACACGTTAAATTATATAAATGCAGTACCTGTATCAGTCTTCATTCTTTCAAGGAATGCGGCGGTATTTTTCGAAGTATGATTTGTTGCGTCATTTTTATGAAGTTTAACTCATTTTTAAAGTTATTGGGATAAGGAAATGGAATTTCTTCCGTAAATATGACTTAAAACTTTCACTTCATAGAACGCTGAGTTGATTTGAACATTTTCTTTCCTCTCTACTTATTTTTAATTTCCCGTCCATTTTCTTGGCATTGACGGAACTAAGTGACACCGAGGGTTTCATTCGTCTCCTGCTATATAGTTTACACAGAAGTTCCCACAAATTGTTTCTCCCTATGCCTTGGCAAAAGCAGTTAAACATTATGTTTGCTAACTTTTTATATTAGAAATTTTGGTTTGTTACTTTATTTACGGTTGCTATGGGTGCACATTTAACGTCTTTGCGATTTCTACCTCGGTCGGCGGATTTTCTCTTGTTACCAACGATTTAGATTTAGGAACATAAACTCCTTTTTCGGGTATTCCTTTGGAGTCATTTTTCCATGTTGAAATAATGAGTGACGGTTTCTTCCTTTCCGATTAATAGTGTTACTTATTTTGCATTCGGAAATTGTAATATCATGCATTTGGCAAAGTTTACGAATTATGGATTGCAAATATTTCTCTTCAGAAAGGACAAAAACGTATCCATAGAGCTTGTTTACATGCGATATTTTGAAACAAAATAAATTAAAATTGGCCTACGATATTTCTCATTTCGCACGATAAGCTATTGTGTAAACTTTTTATTCCGAACGATTTTCTTTTTTTTAATTCTTAATCGAAATCGTTCTAAAAGTAAACACTCTCTGTGCCATAAAACATATTTCCATACTTTTCAACCTGAGATTTTTATAGAGGCTAAAATATCATGTCATTCGATACAAAAAGTCGATTAACTGTTTGGAAAAAAGGGAGAAAACGAAATTTCCATTCTTCCCATCGAGAAGAAACTGTTTGTAGATGAATGGAGTTGATAATAAGCAGAAAATCTGTATTCAATGATTTTATGAAGGCCTAGGTAAGCAAGTAATTTTCGAGTCCGGAATTTACTTACACGACCAATCCATTAGCTCAACTCGTGCTAGATTTTATGAGCAGGTTCGTAAAAAGTTTTTTAAACGGAACTAAAACTCTGGTTCGAAGCCTTGACGATCTTCAACTAGTCTTAGGGAGGCGGGCCTTTTTTAACTCACAAAGCATAGCAGGAGATATATAATTTATAAATATGTAACATTGTGCTGTAATTTTTAGTGTTTATACTTGCCTCTCACTGACGGCAATTAGAAACGGGGCCCCCTGTACATGGCATATTGTGTTGAATCTTTACAGCATTCGTGTAACGTTCAGAGTCACCTACAAATGTTAACTTACAAAGTCTGAGAAGTAAGGACTGTGTCTAGTAAAGGATTTCCGTAAGGATAGAATTAATCCCCGTAAGGGTAGAAGGATCCCAGTAAGGATAGAAGGAAAACTGAGCAATCCTTTGAAAAAGAATACACAAAATGTTTATGAAACGGAACTGCTTTATAAGAATATGAAGGCTGCAGAAGGATTCAAGCTACAGTTGCTCGAAATAATGTTATTTAAATATAGTTTCATCTAATTTAATCTTCTTATCGATTAATTTTCAGATCGAAGTACAATTAAATAGATAGCGAAAAAAAATTTTGATAGAGAGAAATCTCGAGGATTAAACCAATGTAATTATTATACCTACGCCTGGGGAATGTCACAAAATTACTTATTCGTTTGGCATTAATGAGTATGTAATTGCAAACAGTAACTGAGTGTTCAGCCTTTTGATATTTGGAGTTGTCCTATATCTTGTGAAAGTTATGATGTTCAAATGTAAGAAGATTTGCAGAATAGGTGTTGCGTAATGGTAGAATGAGCAGAGAGATGCTCTGAAATGTAGCATCAAACGTAAGATTAACGAATTATTATCGTATATATAATTGCCTTGATGAATCATCTCCAAGAATCATTCTATAACGAAATCTAAGGCGACATAATATTAAGCTGTGAATTTCAGCGTTTGTAGATGCTTTTCACTCACGGCAATTAGATATTACGCCATTTATACATGGTACATTATTCTGAAATACCTTAGAATTCATACAGCATAAGGTTAAAACCGTTTACAGGACATGTATGAACAATATTACATCTGTGATGAACATTTGTGTCTGCATCATTGCGAGTACCAAAAAACCACACGAGAGGGCCTTTCGGTCCACCATATATTCAGAGTGCCCCCATGCCGATACTATTAATTTACAAACATTCATGCCTTCACCGAGATTCGAACATGGGCTTTTCGGTAACGCAGTAGATTCCCCTAACTAGTATTAATTAACTGCGCTAATTAATGAGAGAAAAACTAATAGAAAAATATTTGTATTTTTGTTACTTTCATAAGTGATTTTTTTTTCTAAATTAATCACCAATACAAACAGTGTGAATTTATTTTCATATACAAAACAGATACAATAATCTTATGTTAGTATCTCACGATATAATGTCGATATATTTCCAAACATTTTCTAAATAAATTTATCAAACCGTATGCATTTCTTCTTCATATAAGCCCCTGATTGCACCTACCAGGGAATGTTGATGACCTAGCCCGAAACTGGAGCAAATTTGGCAAGATGTACCGCAGGAGACCATTCGGGAGCTTTATCAGTCTATACCACGCCGTGTGGCAGCTTGCATCCAGGCTAGAGGTGGATCAACACCTTATTGAGCTCTTTACGTTGTAACTATGAAACTCTGAAAAATAATTATTTCAATTGTTCTGAAATTTTAATCATTTTCTATTCTGTACATAATCTTCCCTATCCATTAATTTTTGTCTCCATCGGACAACTCCTTTTCGGTGCGTCGATTTTTTTTTTTTTTTTTTTTTTGTTTTTTTTTTTTTTTTTTTTTTTTTTTTTTTTTTGTTTTTTTTTTTTTTTTTTTTTTTTTTTTTTTTTTTTTTTTTTTTTTTTTTTTTTTTTTTTTTTTTTTGTTTTTTGTTATAGAGCGTATTTAAAAAAATAAATAATGACAAATTTGCATGAATATATGTATGTATGTTTCTCGCACTGTAAAAAAAAAGCGGTACCTAGAGACATCAAATTTTGAATAACGTAGTTCTCCATTTGAATATGGGCATCTGGAAGCCCAGATTTGGAATTTGTTTTATTATCTATTGGAATCTGCTTTGTTGATCGAAAATTCCTTAACATTTTACAAAATTTGAAATAGATAATAGTCAACGATTTCAAAGCATGCAATAGTAACACTATACGAAAAATAAATTTATCTCCCGCGCGCGAGACTGTGTATTGAAATTCTAAAGGTAAGCTGTTTTTAAATATTTTGTAGTATTGCCGTTGAATTGAATTTCATGTGGATTTAGTGCGAAGAACGGGATATTTAATGAATAAAGCTAACACACAAAATGTTAAAAAAGCTCCTTTTTGGGCGTAATATAAAATCTGAAAGCTTTAAGATTTTTTTTTTGGTGCAAGATAAATATATGTGTGTGCACCTACCTGCCCGTTGGTGCAACTGTAAAAAATAAGCTTGGAATAAAACATGAATGTATCTTCTATCCATGCGTATGGCATTCGACCTCTGTGATTTCGAAACTTCTATCCAGTTTCTAGGGATTTTGAAACGAAATGACGATTTAATTTTAACACTTTATTCTTTTTCTTTTTGGTTGTGGGGGAAAAAAAGCTGCATGACCTTTTCTCATAATTTAATAATTTTTAAACCTACCCATGTAACAAAATTTAAGTACAAGCTTCAAGAACTAATATTCTTTCCAATGGGTTAATCAATCCATTTAAATTATTTTTCCGAAATGCATCAATCAATTTAACTTTACCCAGTCTTAAAATTGCTTGCTTACAAAGTAATAACCTATCTTCAAAGTAATAGAGTTGTTCCTTCAATCTTTGGGAACATCCATTTAGGCAACGATTCACATGATAACGTGCCTTCAAAGTTATAAAAAAGTAATCCTGCTCTAAGTCATGAAAACAAACTATTTTCGATAACGAATAATATTTTTCTAAACTTACCTTTTGCTTTCGAAGATTCTACTACAAGATCAACATCTTCAACTAAAGGACAGGCATGGTTGGCATCCTGTTGCCACGTAGGCGACAGTAAAACTGAAATAAAAATTGATGCTCAAAGTTTTAAACATGCAAAGAAGATGAAGAGTCAAAATGATTTGTAACGTGAAGTAACAGTGCGCTCATTGCCAAATAAGGAACGGATTGTTGGAGGAGATACGTAAAGCAACAAGAATCAATGTTATATTCATAAATTTGCAGAACTGTTTCCGAAGGTTTAAATACAGAACCTCCTTCTTCAGCTATATTTAGCCGTAGCTGTTATATTTAAATCTCCACAACTAGTTCTGAATATTTATGAATATTACGCTAATTGTTGTTGCTTTAATTCCTCCAATAATCGTTACTTGGCGTATCAACTCAAAAAAGGAACTCACTTGTTAAATGAAATTCATATGTATGCTTTTATATTACTAACAAAGTTTAAAACACCATTTTTTAAAATTATACATACATAATTATGACAAGAATAATTTAATGGCTAATAATAATGCAAAACTTATAAAGGGCTTCGAGTTACAGTAATTAATTTTGTACTTAATTTTAGTGGTAGCTCAAAAGAACTAGACAGATTGAATGCTAATAAATCAAAAGGTGTTTACATTTGCCATGAAGCATTTAATACCGTGTTATGGAGAAAGGTTTTCGAGTTCATGAACATCCTTTTCTTGTTTCCTTTCAGAAAGTCAAAATAACTTGCGTGGTTTTTAATGTCAGTGGAGTATTATGATAGGTAATCTTTTTTAAAAGCTTTCTGTGTGCTTGAAAATAATAATAATAATAATAATAATAATAATAATAATTAAAAAAAAAAAAAAAAAAAAAAAAGCTTTTTAGTATTGTACAGCGCATTTTTAGAACGCGCCGGGATAAAAATCTGCATCGGCGTAGTGGTCATTCAACAGGCTAGAACATGGCTATGGCATATTGGCCACCAAAAAACCCTGATTTAACATCATGTGACTGCTTTTTGTGAGGATACATGAATTCTCGAGTTTTATTCCTTCCCGAATACTAAAAGGTTTCTAAAAGTACTTTTCTTTCCTTTTTAGTTATGATATTTATAGTTTAGAGTGAAAAACCTTGTTTACTTAAAACTCTTGTTATAAATACAGAGCGTGCTTGTAGAATTTTAGAACGATTTCGATAAAGAATTTTAAGAAAGTAAATGTTTTAAGATAAAAATTTCTTGCAACAGCTTATTATTTGAAATAAATTATATTGTCTTCTATTTAAAATTGATTCCTTTTTCAAAATCTAGCATTAAACAAGTCGTGAATTTAAGGCTATGTTTTAAGGCTAAATAGGTGGACGGGATCTTGAAGCCCCATGAAAGGCTATAGCTTCTCCAGGATCTGAGAACTGCACTTTCAGAAAAAATGGTATTACACTCTACTAGACTAGATCAATGACTTGGTGTATTCTATGAAGTAAATACATGAGTTTTATGTTTCGGTTATAGGTGACCAAACACTATAGAAAAGGAAGCTTTGGTGGAAAAAAAGGACAGATTATTTTTCTATCACATTTAAAGTGCTATAAATTTGAATTTAAATTCAATATTTAAGATTAATAACTGGCAAACAAGGCAATTTGAGTTATATAATCCTTTTCAGTAAATTGGTTTTAATTTTTTCCTGATAAAATCTTTTAGTTTTGACGAACGGTGTAAGACTCGACTTTTCACTATTTTTTGAGAATTTTAATACTTAGGACATACAGTGGATGGAAAAAAATATGGAAACACCTTGTGAAATGCATGTTTGAAAAGAAAGATTGATTTTAATGAAATATGTTGGTGGCGCTGGCGTTTTTGACTACTGACGCCACCTATACAACTTCGTAAATGTGCTAAACAGTTCAGTTGCTGTCGGAGTACTGATATGTGAGGTTGTCATTGCATTATCTCAGAGTTAACAGACTTCGAACGTGGGCAAATTGTTGGAGCACATATAGTAGGTGTTTCCGTAAGCACGGTAGCCGAGGTGTTTAGTGTTTCAAGAGGTACTGTATCGAAGATTTATTCCGCATATTTGAAAAGCGGAAAAACATCATCTGCTAAATCACAGCGCGGACCAAAGTGTGTCCTGAGTGATCGTGACAGACGATCATTAAGGGCAATTGTGACGAAAAATAAGAAGACCACAGCTGCAAAAGTTACTGCTGAAATGAATGTTGTGTTACCGAACCCCTGTGAGTACCAAAACAATTAGAGGGGGAGCTTCATAAACAGGGAATTGCTGGCCGTGCTGCAATTGAGAAGCCACTCATCAGTGATGCTAATGCCCGTAACAGGAAAAAAGGGGGTGTTTAAAAATCATAAAGCCTGGACTATAGAGCAGTGGAATCGAGTAATATGGTCTGACGAGTCTTCTTTCACATTGTTTCCCACTTCTGGCCGAGTTTACGACGGTCTGGAGAAAACGCTATCTCAAGCCTATAATACAGACTGCTTGTTGCCAAGAGTGAAACATGGCGGGGGTTCTGTTATGGTTTGGGCAGCCATATCGTGGTTCTCTGCTAGCCCCATGATAACTGTGTCAGGGCACATGACTGCCAAGACTTATGTGAACATTTTGGCAGATCAAGTTCATCCCATGGTACAAACTTTGTTCCCCGATGGTGATGGTGTCTTCCAAGACGACAAAGCCCCTGTTCACACAGCTCACATTGTCCAGGACTGGTTTTCTGAGTACGAGGATGAGTTGTCCCATCTCCCCTGGCCACCACAGTCACCAGACCTGAATATTATCGAACCTTTTGTGGTATACATTGGAACAGAAAGTGCGTTCTCGTTATCCACCGCCAACATCGTTATCTGAACTTGCCACCGTTTTGCAGGAAGAATGGTATAATATTCCCTTGTCAAACATACAGGAACTGTATTTATCCATTCCGAGAAGACTGCAAGCTGTTTTAGATGCCAACGGGTTTCCTACACCATATAGCAAAGAAACATGTTTTTTTAAAAGGTGTTTCCATATTTTTGTCCAACCCCTGTATTCTATTTTGAAGATGTAAGTACCGTACTTTTGTGGGGATGAAACATAATTCGATAACGTAGAATTTTTTCTTCATTGCATCAATGCATCAAAATGTTGCTCTCATTTGACTGATCATCTATCTCTATTAACCTTAATGAATAGTGTTATTATTATTACAGTTCTGAATTGCAACAATATTGCGTCAATTATACACATTAAGTGGAACATGATACTTTTTATTTTGTTGTCATTATGCATTAGATAATTTATAGTCAGGGGTTAAATTCAGTTGGAGTTCACCGAAGCTCGTTTCCGGTATTCAATTTTGGAACAAAATCTGAATTCTTCCCAGCGCGCGTCGGAGACCGACATAAGATTAGCCTCTTGAACTACTATGTATAATTGAATCGAAAGGTATAGAGAAATTTCTGTTAGAAGTATTGATTTTGGTGTGCCGAAAAAACGTCACTCGGAAAAAAAGCAAAACGGAAAGAAGGCCCCCGGAAAATAAGGAGAGAAACCTAGGAAAGGTTTCACTAAACCGCAGCTTAAGGCTGTAACTGCATGGGGTGCAAGGGGGCACTTACTTAACCTGTTCCGCCAAACTACGTTAATGGCACTACATGGTTAGGAAGTCATCCTAGTCATTGCTAGCAATCTGACGGTTAAGCCGCCTTTCTACATTTTACAATTATCTGTAGTTTTTTGGATATAATTATTTTTATTCACTTGCTTCATTATTTCTAAGATGCCCTTGTTGCAGTAATAGTCCGTGAGCAGTCTATTCACAGGATATGTGATGTAGTCGGAAGGAAAGAACTGCTGTCGAAGGTGCTCTGTCAGACGGCAGGAGAGCAGGTAATGAAGTGCCTCCGCGTCTTCCCCGCGAAAACCGCAAGAACAGTTGACGTCCCGTCTGAGGAATCTTGAATCGTCTGTAATACGGTGGGAATTTCCCGTGGTTGGTACAGGCTTGGAGGAAGTGTCGGTGCAGGCTTGGAGGAAGAGTCGGTGCAGGCTTGGAGGAAGAGTCGGTGCAGGCTTGGAGGAAGAGTCGGTGCAGGCTTGGAGGAAGAGTCGGTGCATTTGAGCTTCTTGAGAGAAGGTATTGGGAATATGTTGTAAGTAAATCTTCCTGTCTCTTCTTCCTGCCATCGTGATGACCATGTCTCTTGAAATGTTGTCTTGAGGAGCTTTTTTGAAACTTCTGCGGAAAGCGGAATTTCCTTGTCAATTTCTGGTTTGAGAGCTGCAGTCTTAGCTAGTTCATCCGCTCGTTCGTTGCCTTTCTGCCCGGTATGTGATTTTATCCAGTTGATCTTTAAAGGTATGGATGAGCCCAACGTCAAGAGGATCTCTCTAAGTGCTGCCGGTGTGCGGATGTTTCAGGAATTCAGCGCATTCAGAACGCTTATGCTATCTGTGAAGAATGAAGTATCCAAGCTGCTGGTTGCGTACCTAACCACTTTTAAACACGCCTTACGTTTTCCCATTGCAGACGAAGGGTGACTTGTTTTTCGTTTCCTAATTTTCCTGTGCCCTTCTTTCCGTTCCTATTTTTCCGGGTGACATTTTTTCCGACAACCACTGCTTTTAATAGTTAGAAAAACTCAAATTTATACCAGCTACAGCGAATGTATTACTGAAATTTATTTTTTCGCGGAAGACGAAATGGCTGGGAAATTTTGATATCTGTAATGATATATACATAGTACATATTTATTCAAGTAGCCTAACAAATCAAATGTCATATCGAAGAATCAGTTTTATCTGACTTCGAAAGACACGGTTCAAAACCTTTTTGTCTTTAGAAAACCATGTCTTATTATTATCAATTTAGTTACCCTTCAGCTTTTTATTTCATTTCATTTAAAATGCATTATTATTAATCAAATCAGTGTTAATTTATATTAATAAACAAATATTTGCATCTATGTTTTTAAGTTTTGTTTAATTTCAAATACGAATTAGTTATTGTTTTGCTTGCTTGTTTGTTTTGTGGTTTCCGGCAATTTCCCATGATGCTTCCTTACTTCTAGTTTTGAAAATGAAGCTCTGTGTATAATGAGAGCAGACCCGCAAAAAAATACATTGTTTTTGTAATTCACTAGCAGTAGAACAGGAAATGGCGAATACCACTGGAATATCATAATTTTACATTTACTATTAGTTTCAAGACTTCAAATTACGATTTCATGTTAATTTCGAGCAGCAGGGGATTCTGTTCAGAAGATGTAGTAGAGATACAGTTTTAGACTCACTTAGGAAAAAGGCAAGAGCGGCTGTAAGAGCTACGGTGACGAATATGAAGGACAAGGCCGTACATTTCCAGCTACACTGCCTTGAGTTCGACTTCCTTAGCTGGAAGTGAGAGTGAGCGAACTGATTGGCCGAGAGGGGTCGACGTAGCATACTGCGATTGGGTAGCGTCGACGCCGGGTAAGTCACGTGATACCTGAAAAAATGGAAAGGAAGGTGAAAATCTCTTTCTGGTTTAACGTAACATAAATTATCAGACAAGAAAAATTGGGGAAAATTGCACAGTACTTATTAAATGAACTACACATATATTTTCATACTTCGTATCTTTCTCGGTGATTCACGCAAATACCCTTACACGAAAACATGCCTCATTTTTTCAAGCTATGACATAAAACAGCTTTCTCTACGTATGTTTTAAAATTGCAATTCAAAGTATAATGTACATATTAAATTGTTATATCAAATAATGGAAAAAATTAAGCCAAACATCCACTTTAGTAATTATAATAATAACTTCCCAAATTATCCATTTCAGTAACGTTAATAATGCTAAGAATCTTCATTAATGCGATCAATCTTCATATGATACTAATGAATTATATACGAAATCAATTTCAGTAACTTAAAATATATTTCACAGAAAATACAATTGAATTTATTTGTTACATATTTATTTCCAAGGAAATACAGTTTAGTTTATCGATGATATTGGAAAAATTAAATTATTTAGAAAATAAGATTTAAAAGCTAGCAGTGCTGTGTTATAGGAAATAAGTTTGGTAGAAAAACAATAACATTTGCCTTTAAAAAACTTAAAAAGAATCCAAAAGTAATGAAATTTACTTCTAGGAAGTTAAACAAAATCCAATATTTTAGTTAATATACTTTGTATAACTGTGAAAGTAGAATTTATACTGACTTTCTCATTGCTTCAAGTATCAGTATCTGCTGAAGCGCGATAATTAAATAATACTTTTTTGCTCACTAAATTTTAAGTTCGGCATTCAAACAAGCAGTTTCTCTCCCTCAAATCAAAAATATAATTAAATTCTACTTTTAAAGCTGACGATTATTTAAAATGAAATAATGAATATCGAAGACTAATTGAAGATCATCTAGGTGCGCTTTTTCAGACGTACATAGATATGCTGAATAATTAAATAATGAGATTTCTGTAACATCGGCGAGCTTCCGTGAAGAAAAATAACAAGATAGGTTGCCTTTTTAGATTTATTTAAAATTTATATTTAATTTTATATTTATTTAATTTATTTATGGAAGGAGAAAGACAATATTCCCGGCTCTTGAACGCGTCTTACTGTCTAGGCATTTCGCAGACAAAAGCAACATTTTTACTCTTACAAGATGAAACTCCACCAAAAGGGGGGCCTCTTTAGAGATTTTTCTTGAACACTTTTGCCGGCCCTACGTTTGATACTGGGGTTTCGTTCCTAAGATAACAGGAATTTATCTGAGGACACACACATGTTGTGCTGATACACTTCTTTTGTATATGGCCAAAGTACAACTGACGTTGGCCAAGTAACACATGTCATCCAAACTACAAGCAATCGTTTATAGTCTGGCAACATTCCAATACTATTGGTTCAGTTAGAAGAAAAGAAAATATATTTGTTTTCTCTAATAAAAGAGAGAATGTTGTTACACAAGCAACATGAAGCAAAGGGCAAGTATTAAATTTTGTTTTAAATTCCGAAAAAAGATCTACTGAAATAGTTGAATTTTTAAAATAAATGTACGAAGGCTTCCTTTCCCGCTGCAGAGAAGTGGTATGATACCAAAATGGTTAAGAAACGATTGAACATAAAGCTCGATCTGAATCTCTGGGTTTTGCAAGTAATGAGAAATCTTTCCCAAAAGTCAGAGAATTGTTGAAATAAGATTTTTGTTTGAATGTGAAAATGATAAAAGATGAATCTGAGGCTGATTAAGAGACGATTCGTCAAACTGTGGTGAAGACTTAGGCAAACAAATTCTTTACCCGATTTATGCCGTATTATGTGCATAAAGATAAAAAAATAACTCGTTAACTTAAAGTATAATATTACTTTGTACAAAGAAGTAAAAATGAACGGTAGTAATTTCATCAGATCTCTTGATTGCAAGATGTTGCCTGTTTTTCACCAAATTTCCAGGTACTTTTCCTTAGGGGGAGCAAATGATAAAACCAAACTGAGCGTCTTTTAGGATGCTTCAAATATTTAAGGTGAATTAAAAATCTTTGAAATTACCTGTCAGCGTTGTGATTGATATGGTCTTCCTCGCAATGTGGGTAACCAACACCGGAATGGGTATCTGAAAAAGACAAAAAGGTATGCTTAATTTTTATAAAGGTAAAACGTAACTTTTTACAGAATTCATATTACTATTAAAATATCAGTCCTTAGTTCCCTTAATGAAAGAGAAGCAAATGCATTGCTCTACATTCAAACACTAACACACTTATTGGCACACAGAGTTTGTAATAGTAGTCAGAAATAATCATACTAATACCTCAAGCATACAGAGATAGTGAATAATTAAAAAATGGGCTGTGGACTACGTTTGAAATTCATTGGTGTCTTAATAGCAGATAAATGTAGAGACAGTTCCGCATCTGCTCTGGATGAAACAGTTATCAAACTGAATTAAACTATGAAGGTAAAGAATACGTATATACCTTTTAGGCCTTAGGATATAGATGTATTATGAACAAAATACAATTAAAATATGACATAAATCGAATATGAATAACTAAAATCTGACCACTTTAATGCATTATAATAATTCTAATATGAAAAAGTGTGTATAAAATTATCTATTAAGAAACATATAATCTCTTTTTAATATTTATTTTTTGACACTGTTTATTCTAGTCCATGTTCAAATTTGATTTCATTTACTATATTGACACTCAAAATTCATTTCTTAGATTCATTTCATTTCAAAATCCATTGCTCGCTTTGAAATCGTTAAGTTTGTTAATCAAAAATTAGTTAAAGTTTTACAAAATATGAAACCGATAATACAACAAATTTCAAATTTGGTCTTCCACATGCCCATATTCGTAGGATGATTACGTCATTCAAAATTCGATGGCTCTATATACCGTTGTTTTATCACAATGCGAGAAATACATGTATTTTTGCATATTTTTCATTATTTACTTTTTTCAAATATAATGCAAGACTCTAACATTTGGTGGTAACAGTTTGAAAAGTGAAACGGAGATTTATAGTGATTCAAAGCAAAATAGCAAAACGAAAACAATAGTCCTTCATGGACAAAGCCCTTTTGGACTAAAAGTGTGCTACCAGATATTACTGTACGTAGCGGGATATAATATTTCCATGATGTGTTACGAAATACAGTTAAATACAGACAACATTTGACAACAGTAACTGTGGGAACTGAAGTGCTAAAGGAGGCTGCAGTTGCAGAGACTGAGTTTGCATTTAGAGGCAATTGTGCCATTGTCGGGATTCAAACCAACGTCCTTCTAACGGTGTCCGCCGAAAACATGGCGTCAAAAAACATCGCGGACAAAAACGTCGCAAAGAAAATAACGTAAGGCGAGAACGTCGTGGAACAAAACAACTTCGGAGAAAATAAAGTAAAAAGAAAATATCGCAGTTCTAAAAGATCGTGATACGAAAAATCGTCGTCGAAAATAACGCGGTTCAGAAACTTCGCAGGTTAAAAACATTATCGGCGAAATATCTTTGTAAAAAATTAAAGTACTTACAAAATCATTTCGTGCCGATAACATAGCACGCATGCGTTTTTCAGGCTTTAATTACTGAAAAAGGATACTTGCATGATGATTTCTGAACGCAACACTTTACAAAATGGGACGCGCGCGACGGAACTCAATAATTTCTTCAAATTAACCCTTCTTAAACGGCTACTAGGAAGAACCACGAAACTCAAATGGAACCTCGAAACTCAACCACGAAACTATTTGGTGACGAATTGTCGTCCCCACGCATTAGCTTAGGCGCCACTGTCGATTCTACGACTGATATTATATCTAGATATTAACTTTTGTAATTTTTGGTGAGAAATTTACGGAGAAATTTAAAAATTTATCTTGGTGCATTTTTGCGCCAAGAATAATTCACTTGGCGAACTTCTTAATTTATAGCAAACTATTTTCCTTTCATTTTTTTTTTTCATTGTATACGAGGGAGGGAAAAGTCACCGTTCAAATTTTCAAATAATATTAACAAAGTAAGTAAACCACATTTGGCGTTATTATCGCTTATAAAATATATGCCAAATTTCAAAACGCGTCAATATGTAAATTCACGTGGAGCTTCGAAAATTTTGAATAAAAAACTCTAATCTTTTGCAGGTATGCTTAGAAATACGTGTAGTTTAAGATGATGTTAAAAATTTTATAGATTATAATTCAACATTTTTTTTGGAAAATTTATAAAAATTATTTAAAAAAACGAATTTTAAAAATAATTCATAAAAAATGGGTGAACTTTATTTGGAATGAATTTAAATTTCGAAATGTGAAAGGAAGAATCAAATAAGTGTAATAAAAAAGAGAGATTAATAAATTTCAAACTCAATTAATATTGAGGAGCTAAAATTTTGAGAGCTAATTTTTTAAAAACTGCTCGTGCAATTTTTGCAAAACTTGGTAGTTTGGCGTAATTTGAGTCGTAGAATGGAAATGTGGTAAAGTATTGGCATGTCATTTCAGAAAAAGTATGATTTTGTGTCAAAACACCTATGTTAGAATAATTCTCTATATATAAATCTAACATATATCCTATGTCGCGCTTTCGAGATATGGAAAACTCAAACTTAATTTCATCAATCGGTCCAGTAGAACGGGAAGATACAGAATTGTCCCACAAGGTACACATCTAATGTGAGCACGCGAACAATTAACTGTGTCCTTGTGATTCAAGTCACGGATCTTCCACGAGCTAGCTGGATAAATTATTCCCTTATTCTACGAAAGCATGTGTGCAAAAATGGAATAATTCCTTACGAATTAAAAATGTGAAATCCTTTGTTCAAAAAGCACTAATAATTTTTTTAAGCTTTCTTTATTAGAAAATTCTGATGTGTACACGACATGACTTCCTCGCACGGAATATTAAATTAGCGACACTGGCGCTGGTTTCACTTAACAGCGTTACATCTCATTCATTTTATAACTAATAATGCGTAAAAATTATATCAACTGAAGAATTATCGAATCGTTTCCACATGTTCTATTCAAGTACTATAACAAATTTAAAACGATATATAAAAGAAATTAGACAAAAAAAAAAAAAAAGAAAAAAAAAAAAAAGAAACAGTTGTTGTTGCGAAGATTAGTTTCTTTAGATTGGCATCAAATAAACTATTCTGCTAAGTTTCAAATGTAAACAAATATGGCTACTATATAGGAAAAAATTAGGCTTAGCCACACTTAAACAACTTTTAAATTGTTGATAACTCTATAAATATTGCATGCAGTTAACTGAAGGCATAAAAACCTTAACGGGAAGATAACAACAACATAATTAAATCATTTTAAAGCAAAAAATGCACAATTTACCAACATAAAGAATAAAAACAACTGAGCTCACGGTGCCAAGTAAGAGAGTGGGTATATATATATATATTTATTTTTTGTGCGGCCGATTGCCATCAAAAAGGGAATTGCACAATTGCATCCTATAGCTGTCCTATATACAAAATTTCAACGTTCCTAGGCTACTCGTTTTTGAGTTATGCGAGATACATACATACATATATACGCATGTACGTACAGAGGCCACGATAAAATCTCTTCTGAATCCATTTTAAATCAGTTTCATACTTTTTTTGGGGGGAAAAGTGTCCTTTATTCTGGTCCATACGTACAGATGTCGCGCAAAAACATCGTTAAATTGCATTCGATAGCGGTCAAAATGGATATTTCGTTGAAATGTGGTACCTGGAATTTTTCGGGATTACACTATTTCTTTTACTTCATACAAGGAAGTGAGAATTTCGTAACTGACTTATATTTTTAGCCTTTAATGTTATTATATTCCCTCAAGGGATATCGAAAAAATATATAATAATACACTTTTTTATGAAGCTTACAAAAAATAAGGATCTCAAATCAATATTTATGCTTTCCAGCAATAAAATTAAATGTAGACCTCGTAATGCATTAAGTTTTTTTTTTCATCGAAAGGATGAAATTAAATTCTAATGTGATAGAAAATTTTAAACAGAAATTCATTCTTACGTTAACTATGTGGAGTTTCTTTAATTTGAATAACCGGTTATTTTTTTACTTTGAATCTTTACTGTCACCTCTATCTTTCCGTTGTTTCACCAGATTGCAAATTATGCAACGTATATTTAAGTCAGAATGTTCAACCAGAATATTTACACTTAACCAGAATGCAACGTATATTTAAGTCAGGGTTTGATATTATCAAGACAAAGCGTGTTTTGTCTCTTGAAGGCCACGTTGCTAGGTTTGCTATTGTGAGATAAGAGTTCCTATATTCGGCCTTGCAGTACACTTGTTGATAATTGAATTCACACCGGTGAACTCCGAACCAGCTTCGAGTAAATTGTTCCGTGTAGCCTTTGGGTTTTAATTTTACATTTGACGATTTGAATATTTAATTTTACATTTGACTTACTAGCTTGAGTTTCTTGCCATAAGTGCTGGGGATTTTGTAAATTCCATGAGTGCCTTCTGTTCATTCTATTTAGTTTAAATAAAATGTTTTCCACTTCTTTTTTAATTTTCTGTTCTTACTCAGAGATAAGTTACTTAACGTCTACGAAAAGGCTGGTAACAGATTTCAAAGTGAAAGATAAATATAGTTTCATTTTGCAAATGATTGAGCATAATGTCTTATCATTACGAGAATAGATTTCGTGTGATTACAAAAACATCAGTCACACTAGAAGTTCCCGTCAAAAGGATAAAACACGATTTCATAAAATGACTACGCTTCAGATTTCATAATAAGCAACTTTTCGTCATTTTCTAACTCAATAAAATGAAAGAATTTCCAATTTGATAATGAAGAATAAATAATCGCATTTATTATTTGACGATCCAATAGTTTTTATGGTAATATCTGAGAAAAAGTTTGAATAAAACATTACTGAGTTTCGGGAGAGGACAAAACTGTGGCGAGAAAAGGAAGCTGCATTCTCGAATTTTTAATCTTGAAGACATTTTCTTTCTTCCTTTTTTTCATAAAAAATTAGCTCCTTAATTTTCTTTACTTCAGAAACAAGTAAATAATTGAAAAATAAAATCTGTTACGAAAACTGGCCAGTAAAATTGATAGGTC